GAGATGGAATCAGATCAGCAGTTGTGATGAGCATGACAGGAATGTGCTCTTCTGTTGCTACAATTAATTGGTGGATTGGAACTGCGTCAAATCTGCAATTTTATGGGAGGTGGTGCATGCCTAGTCAATGGCCGAGAAGGTATGAGGGTGGTTACTGGAAAAACTGATCCACCACTACAGCATTGAGTGCAGGAATGAGGTGCCAAGTGGGAGTGCTCTACTCGAATGCTTGCTTGCTTGCCTTGGAAAAGCAAAACTACGCCTGTACCGAAATGTCGTGAAAGAGCTACCTCGATCAAACCCAGCAAGACGATCAAGAACAAATACAAGTGTTTGTGTAGCTCCTGTTGCCTCCCAACTGGATGTGGCTCCCTTCAGTTTCTTCCACCTGCTTTCCACAAATTGCGTATGAATATGTTGAGGCCAAACAAAAAGCTATTGCCAAATTCAATGGTTGTAGGCTTAAGCGTTTGCATCAGCCGTGTGGTATCCCCGACGAGAGTTACTGCGGACAGTCCCACAACAATATATCAAGTTAATTTCCGAAATGGCGCTGATGCTTATCACTGTTGCTGGTAATTACCCCACGAGAGTGACGCATGTTGCAGATTTGAGGGTAACACTACCTCAGATAGGATCGCAGTAACACCCCACAAGCATGGCCAATGTCTACAATTAGTGTGGCTTGAAACCATCCTCCTCTGTGAACCTCTTTTCTGTGACATTCTGCTACAGTTCTATTTATTACAAATGGTTCTAACCAGTAGTTTATTTTTCCGTGTCGCATTCATTTTCCATTGGGCAAAAGCAACATTAACCTCAAAGTCCGTTGTTTAGGAATGGTCGCGTTCACTGCCCCTCTCTTGTCTGAAGGCTTGTTTAAACACACACGTTACAATAAATTCTTGCACGTGTGGCCAAGTAATTGTGTTTTCCGTCCCCATCGAATTTGCGAACGATATGCAGGGAAGGGAGTTCAATAAATAATGAAAGCACCGGAGGCGTTTGCAGTTGGTTGTACAGAGGGTGAGGGATTTTGACAAGGATAAAGCTTTTGGACTATTCAACCTACCGAAATTGCATAATGATTAGAAGCTCCTTTCATTATCCCCTTCCTTTCTCCCTACATTTCTTCCTTTACTCAGATATCTCAGTGGCCAAACAAGAAGAAGTTTGTCTCTTTGACCTCGCACGTGGTACAATTCGCTGTCACCTCTCTAGGCATTTCGGTTGCAGCGTGCGTGTCCCCACAGGCTATGCAACTGCTAGTCTTGGGTTTCACTTTCGTCCCTCTCACATAACTGTGCAATACATTTTGAGCATTGGTGGGAGGAGGATGGTTGTGTTGGATTCTACCCTAACAAGCACCTACCTTAATCCATAGGGGATAAGTATTCATACAGATAGGGTCTTGCCCCGCTGTTTCGGATGTTACGCAGCAGTGAGGGTGACGAGAGCAAAGATGAGGATGGAGACGAAGAATAAGAGTTGGAGGAAGAGGGCGAGAAGGAGGTGGAAGCAGGGACGGGATGAAGAATGGTCACACTGGGTGTAGAGACAAGTAGAGCCTAATGAAATGCTGGATGAGTATTCTTGACAGAGGAGAGATTGGTTACATTTGTGTGAGTTTTGGTGCACATACATCCCTTGCTTCTATCCATCTGTGTCATTGCTCCTCCTCTCTCTTGTTCCTCCAGTATTTCGTCCAGCTGGCACGCCATAAGTACGAGCAGATGTAGAGGCAGAAGCAGATGTGGGAGGCAAAACAGGAGCAAAAGCAGCTGCACCTCCTCTTCATGTGGTGTATTCTCCGACAAATGGAACTTTGAGCATTCAAGTGATTGGTGCATTGTGTGTGCCCCAACCGAAGGCCATCTCATGCAGTGCAACAGCATCCGAGGACGATCAGCAGTGCATTGCCATCTTAGTTTGCCCTGCAACTAGCCACCAAGGAAGTATTTCAGCGTGATAAAGTAACTATGATCAGATGAAGAGCTTGATGTGCCTTCACTAAGGGATTAAAAGAGCCAAAGTGAAGATTAAAATTGGACCTCAGTTTACCTAAGAATAACAAGGGAGAGCAATTTTGAGAAAGCAAAATTCTGCAGAGAATTCACGTCAGATCAGCTAGTAGAATTATTTAGGAATTAAGTAAAAACTAGGAGACTGATAATTAAAAGTCTTTGTTGACACAGTCTTCTCACTCACCATTACACTTCTCCCCACTTTAACGATTATGGCACAGCTCCACCATGCTGGCCCGGAGCAGCTCCTCCAAATCCTTTCCTCTACAAGAGTGAGCTGCATTTATTGTTCCCATAGCGAATCTCGTCTCTTCTGCCTTTGCACCTGTGCAGCGATTACCAACCACCAGAAATTCATTTGCTGCATGCATGTTCACAGAAACGATTGCTGTGTTGTGTAGAGCAAACGTAATCACCTCGACCGAGGTCTCCACTGACGAATACGTGACAGCATCTCAAACGTGTACACACTTCCAATGTCTTACCGCTGTGTGGCTGAGTGCCCCAGTGCCTCCTCTCCTGAGCTGCCCACCACTCCACCATGCTGTGCTCTTCTCCACTGTGCCATTTTGTGCTCCGATTCCTCTGTGGATACAAGTACATAACATCGGACTGCATTTCGCGTAGTCGCTCTCCTTCACAGCTATCACTGTCCATTACCATCTTGTTGTTCCACGCACATTCTACTACTACTACAGTCGTCTGACATCGTGATTTCGGTGTCTGATTAGGGATGTGTTAACGCATGTCTGAGGATGGTGCACGCAGTGCCCTCACCGTGTCTTTTAACACCACATAATGAAGCCTGTCGCTTTTGTCTGAAGGAGCTCGCCAATTGCAAGACAAGTGGCGCATCTTGGACTTCGTCCCACGATTTCATTCATTGCTCTGCTTTATCGCAGCTGCTTAAAATTTTGTTGCAAATGTTAATAACCAGTGCCTTCGACTGAACCACACCAAGCATACATTGCAAAATGTGACCCAAGTGCCTGCGAGTAACTATCAAGTGCCTCTTACCACCATTTACTACCCCACTTTTAACCTCAGTGTTGGATTTAAAGCAGCGTGCAAATCAATCCAGCCCACCTCAGATACACGAAATCCACAGACTTCTGACTCATTGGCGAGAGGATGCAATGACACATTCGGGAAGAGTTGAGTCTAGTTGAATCGCTATTTCCATGTCAGATGAAGAGGCAAATTTTGTCCTTGTTTTCACAGTCTCTTTCTCTATAACGTAAATTTCCAAATAGACTGGGAATATTATTATGTATTCTGCACAGTTACCTTCGACATACCTTCAAATTGGCTTTTATAATCACTGAGGTGGTATTTTATCACTTATGGATGAAACTCTTCACAATGGTAGAGTGTTGATCGCTGGCACGCATAAACCACAAGAAAGACTTGCAGCGTATGCAAGAAGGAGCAAAGACCAGTTTATCAGTTGTAAGAAAACCACATTCCTAGAATTATACAGCAAATTTCATAGTGCATGTAGCTAAACTTACCTTTGAATACTTACCTTTTAAATGAGTATAATCCGTTTCCCATACCGATTTTCGAAGGACCAGCAACTTTTCAAAGTCCACAATTCAAATTTTTGTGGGAGTGGTTTCATTCCAAGTATTAAATGTAAATTATTTTGACAGAGCTTTGGGTTATTTTTGTTAATCAGGAACCAAATGTGTCACTGGCATTGATTGTGTTAACAGCTACGATCTTAAATGAACCCTTTTGACGGTAAGGATCACTCTAGCCGAATGAATTGCAAAGTATAATAATTCAGTGATCAGACTCAGGCGAAAAGCATAGCTTGCATGACTGCTGTTACTGTTAGTTGGGGTCATGCCACCAAGCAATGTATGTTACGTACACTGTTAGTTGTATGCTTCTGAATAAGCAAAAGCAACAGTTTGGTGTCCCAGAAATCAAAAGCCTTTGAAGATCTTGCAACAGCGAGTATGTTTGAAACAAAGCACTGTCATTACTTTTGCGAGTGTATTGCATGAATTTCCTGAGGACCAAATTGATTGCCAAGACCTGTCTTCCTCTCATTTTAAAGGAGGCAAACCCAACCTTCTAACTCTCGACTCTGACTGTGATGCCAGGATTGCGAAGGAATTTACTAGGGAGGGATGGATTCAGCTCAGTACGAATCCACTTGACCTCTAATTTCCAAGTTTGTGAAATTTTGCTCGCCCTTTGTAAGCTCCTTAAAATGTATGGCTTCATAAAGACGAACCAACAGGTTTTCCCTGGCAAACATTGCCAAGTTGCGAACATGTACTTCTTAACTTAATCTAGGACTATAGGTGTCATTGGGTGGTAATCGGGAACACAATGAGCATTTAACTGGGATGTAGAGGATAGTAAAGCAGACTTTAAAATGCAGTGCTTTTCACGGAACAGATGAAGGTGAGTTGAAAAGTAAAGGTCAAATAGATTTACATTTAACTAAATCATTTATTATGAATTCCGGTATCTTTATGACTTTCTCGAGCAGCGATGTAGGTGCCACAACCCATGCCATCTTCCATCCTATGTATTACATGCTAAAATAATGTATGAACTTAGGCTG